GCAGTGATGGCGGCTACAGCGGCGGCTATGCAAGCGGAGGCTACGGGGGCGGATACGGAGGAGGCTACGGCGAACAGATGGGAGGCTATGGCGGTGGTAACGGTTACAGTGACTTTGGCAGCGGATACGGCCAGCAGTCCTCCGGCTACGGGCCCATGAAGAGTGGAAACACGTACGCCGGCAGAAGCGGAGCCCCTTACCCCCGTGGCGGCGGGTCTGGTTACGGCAGGGGTGGCTACGGAGGCTACTAAAGCGTGTTGGGAAAAGACTCGGAAAGCTGCCCCCCTCCTCCCCTCCTAGGTTCTCTCGGTTTCCACATTGGGCTCATTCACCCGGCCATGCAAGAGATGGCGGACACTGTGAAAGCATACCTTTTAAAGACCTCAATTCTTCACAGGTAGGAAGAAGATCTCTTCCCAGAAACCTGACTTGCTCGACCAGCTTTAGTTGTAGGACACGTTCTAGTATATTATATATCATTTTATTTTCCACGTTTTAGGGCATGCAGCAAAGTTGGCCCTGGCTGTTTTCTTTTTCTTTTCTTTTTTATGATGCGATTTGTTCGTAACCCATTCGTTTTAAAATTCAGTTTTGTTCAACACTGGCGATTTGTTGTCAAAATGCATTCTCAGTAACTTAGACCTGTTTTCTATATAAACTGTTGCCTATTGTCATGGGGGGGATTAACGCATGCAGTTTTGAGTTTGTGTTCGTCTGAATAAAACCCACCACGAGTTTTTCTAAACTAGTTTATCATGATGGGATAGATTAGGCTTCGTTATTTCTTTTATTTTGTAAACCAGCGCAGAAACCCATTAATGGAGTTCAGTTCAACGCTGTATGAGCATCATTTACTTCCAACATTCTCTTGTGTATTGTATATTATGTCTTCAGATAAATCCAGTATTGTTAAACATTGATATGCAATTGTATGTTACTTTTAAATAAAAGTTTCACAGCTTAATTATCCTTTCAGACGGCGTTTTGGCTGATAAGACTTTAACTAAGGGCTTTCCACCACACCTGAGATAGTCATTTAAGCATATATATGTAGTTGCATTACTACTTGACAAACCTAACACTGCCCCACATTCAGTGCTATACATATATTTATATAGTGTTTATGGTTTATATTTACTCTTGATTCCCAAATATAGGTGTTCTTTCAGTTATTCCAGTATTTCAAAATAGCTGTAGCAGTTTGTTTGTACAGGGAACCTGTTCAGTACCTGGGTTCGATTGTGATAGGACTGAAATATCTCATTAGGATATCATCCTGCGATCTAGGTATGTAATCAACCTGTCTTCACTACGTGTTGGTAAATTATTTCAATTTTTTTTTCATAAATGGATTATTTATTCCTTAAGTTGTTTTTAATTAGTCTCCATCCATAAGTCAAGTGGACTTTACATGAACTGGTGCGATGGAATTTGGGTTTGTAACACCGCGGCTTATTAGGGCCTTGATATGCCATTTTAAGGATTTTTTTTCTTTATCAAATTTTGTTTTATCTTGCATGACTAATGTGTTCCCTTTTCTTTCTGTCTTCCTCCCTAGGCGACCTTGGATGCCGGACTCTGCCCACATCAGCTGTGGCCATGGAGTTTGGTTATCTACACAATCCACAGAGTAGTTATGATTTTAATAATGGACTGGTGAAATGATGACGACATGGAATTTTTAGTTTTGTGTGTGGATTATGTGCATGGAACAAGCAATAGCAGTGCCAATCTTGTGTGTTAGCTGGTATGTGATCTTATGTCTGATCTCTTCACTTTATATATACCATATATACTTAAGCTTGAAAAGTAGTTTGAATTAATTTAAGACTAACATACTGTATTTCCTGTATGATTATTTTACCGCTCTTACTGTGAAGAAAGTTCTTTTTTGTGCAAAAATCACTTGCAGATACAAAAATCAGACCATATTGGTGACCGCAACAAAGCCAAACATCTGACCATCTCGCTTGAAACTTACACTTTTAAATAATTTTTAACCAATGATCTTACTGCAGGTGTCCTGCTCTTTTTTTTTTCTCACCTAGGAAACTCCTCAGTAATCCCCACTACTCCCACCAGTCACCTTATTAATTGGCTAGCTTGTTTTAAAATGGTGGCATCCTTTAACTTTCAACAAAACGCACTTTAATTGGATTAAGGAATATATCTTCATGTAACAGGTGTACAAACACATAAACCTATAAACACTGAGTGAATGATAAAGTTGCATTGTCCCTCAGCCTAGGTGACCTACTTTCCTACACATCAAAACATCACATATATCATTTTTAATTGTGCCAAAAAGTGATCAATGTAAGACAAAGACCTAGTTGAGGCCTATACAGGCCTAAAGTTAACTTGAGTTTGTTCATAGTGCTTCCAGGCTATTCCACAAAAATATACTATTTTTCTAATAAAAATATACTTTTTAGAATCACTGAAACACATTTGTGCTTTGTGTAGAGTAGTTTTGCTCACCAAGATGCTTATGAACTGCCATCATAATATGGTAAACAGGCCATAAACTTGTAAAATGCTTGTAATCCAGTGTTTTAAGACAGGATTTAACTTTGTAAGGGGTTTAAAAGTTCCGTTATAGTGTGTGTGTGTGTTTCACCTGATTTCTTAGTTTTTTGGAAATTTACCACTGGACACTTAGATTTAAAATATATAAATTGCACTCAAAGATTATTTGCAGCAAAATAAACACTGCAATACTGAATATAACAAGAAAGTTTTTTTTTTTTTTTACAATAGAAATGTCTAAATAAAAACGACACTTTTTCAATTCCCTGATATTTCCAGGATATTTCCTGGATTCAGAGTAGAATGGCATTTGCAACAGAAATGTACCTGCTGTCAAGTTTACATATAACACATTAACTGATGTGTTAACTACAAAAATACGCTTTTAAACCCAAAACGAATGGATTCACAAATTAGCTTTGACTCTAGTTCCAGGCTACAATGCGTCTTGCTAATTAAGGATGGGTTTTATTTAAGTGCTTTACTTTTTATCCAATCAGAGTCCACTACGTATGTGTTGACGCGCACAAATGGAACCGCCCCCGCGTGTCTAACGCATTGACTTCTTTCTTCCGTTCCGCGTGTTCTCAATCAGTACGGCCATTGTAAGAAAATGACTAACCAGCTTTGCAAACTGTTTGTTGGCGGCCTGAACGTCCAAACAACCGACGAAGGCTTGCGGGCACATTTTGAACAATATGGACAGCTGACCGACTGCGTGGTGGTGATGAACCAGCCGCTGCAGCGCTCCCGGTGCTTCGGCTTTGTAACGTACTCGAGCGTTGAGGAAGCGGACGCCGCCATGGCAGCTAGGCCTCATGTCGTTGACGGCAACAACGTGGATCTGAAGCGGGCGGTGGCCCGGGAAGACGCCGGTAGACCGGAGGCACTAGCCAAGGTCAAGAAAATATTTGTAGGGGGACTGAAAGACGACATCGAGGACGAACACCTCCAAGAGTATTTCTCCCAGTTCGGTGTCATCGAGAAAGCTCAGGCCATCACCGACAAAGACACCGGGAAAAAGCGAGGTTTCGGTTTTGTTTACTTCGAAGACAACGACTCTGCCGATAAAGCCGTCGTCATGAAGTTCCACATGATCAGTGGACACAAGGTGGAGGTGAAGAAGGCTCTCACCAAACAAGAGATGCAAACTGCCGGCGGTCGCGGCGGCAGGGGAGGCCGAGGAATGGGCCGGGGAAGCGGTTATGGCGGCGGAAGAGGCGGTTACTATAGCGACTACAGCTATCAGAACGGCGGCTACGGTAACGATGCTGGCAACTACGAAAGCCAAAGTAGCTACGGAGGAGGCTATAGCGACCAGACGGGCGGTGGATACGGCAACGGGAATGGCTACAGCGACTTCGGCGAGGGTTATGGACAGCAGCCTTCAG